CAAAGAAAGAAGAATTTTCCATGAAAATTTCTGGAAGTAGTGGACTAAGTGGGTTTCCTATAATCAATCCTTCTTTGACAATATAAAGTTGATCATTAAATTGAAAATAATTTTGGTCTAAACAAACTATTGAATTATGTAACAAGTTTTGTGTTTTGATAGGGTTGACTTGTCTCTAAGGGAGAATATTGTCTATCATGTTGTCAATCGGTAGAATGGTAGGAAATAGATTTTGGACGTCAAAGGAAACTAGAATTGCCTTAGGAGGAATCTTAATGTGTTTAACCTTAATTTTTCAAAGAAACTTCCACAGGCTACTGTAATACTTTTTACAAAACTTCTGGATTCTTCCTGCGTCGGTTTTTGCTGAGTCGAAATTGCTGACGTTTCGACTCAGCAAAAACCGTCGCAGGAGGAATCCAGAAGGTTTGTAAAAAGTTTTTAACCTTGTTTATTAGCTCGAACGAAAGGTTTAAAGGCAATATAATGTTCTAAATTTTTTATGAATCTTGTTGAAAGTTTAACTGATGGCGCTGTTACAAAAGAAACTACAATTTGATTAAAGAATATAATTTTGGGAAGTTTAGGATACATAATTATTAGTTGGTATTTTTCCCTGTCATTAAGATATGATGAAACTGTAATTACAGTTTCGATTTGTTTTTTTATATAACTCGGTGGAATCGTATTGTATACTTTGGTATGTGGTATGGTATGGTATGGTATGATTTAAGAAACTGTTTGGTTTTTGTAATCTGTTCTAGAGAATCGATACCGATGATTTTCTTTTCTTCATCTGCTCTTGTAAATACAATATTATTTTGGGACGCCTTATTTTGAAAATTTGAACATTTTTTGTTCTAATTTAGTTGTGTTAAATGGATTTTAATCAAGTGAAAACCAGTTCAATTCCAAACTATCAATTTTTGTAATAAAAGTTTGAGTTTTTTAATTAATTTGTGTTTTTTAATTAGAAAAAATAATGTTTAGATGGTATAAAATGTTTTCACCATAGATCAGTAAAAGTATTAAATATTAACCACTTCAATGGATCCATAATAAGAATCCCCAATTTTAGTTTTCAAGTGCAAAAAACACATTTCTCCAAAAGACCTATTTTCCGCAAAAAAGGAAAAGTTCATTTATCTCAAAAACTACTCAAAATCTCGCATGCTATGTAATGACAGAAAATAATGAAACTCAAGCGAATAATTAGAATTTTAAAAAATATTCATCTCATTCCATTTTAAAAAATAAAGTTGGTTACTCTCCTGGCACAATTGACAGATTGAGTAAGTCTCTCGATGTCGTTTCCATTTATATACATCTGAGTATTTGGAATGTTGTCCCTACTAATCACCATAAATTTGTTTTTCTTAATGTTAATTTTTAAACCCAAACTGCTTGCTTCAGTGATCTGTTTTAGTAGTCTGGAGATCACCTGCATTATCTGTTATTATGGCAGTGCGATCTGTTCTAATGCCAATTGGACTATTCGAGGCTGCCTCATAAAATAAGTAAATGCTTCTGATCAAATGGAATGTTTTTGAGTACATGTTGTGAGGTACTGGAGCTTAAATTAAATTAAATTAAAATAAATAAAAATACTGTAAATAAAATATATACTTAGGGTCAAACACTTTTTGTACTTCTCTACTTATTGGGAAAAGTTATAGTAGCATCTTCCTGTATACGGAATGAGCAATCCGAACACACCTTATACCATTGCCGAATGGAACATAGGAAATGCCATGTAAATTTTGCGTTGGTTACATATTGGCTCCCCTGTACATTTTATAGCAAAGTTGTAATATAAATTTTTGAAGGGTCCGGTATGATTACCGCATGTGCCGAGTTTGAATAAATTTTAATCAGCCAATATTCAGTTATTGAATTACATGCGATGGCAAAATTAGAACATTTTTATGGTTAAGAAAGGGACAATAGAAATTTGAAGATATTACTGCACGTGGAGGAAACCAAAATGATTATGATTAGTACTTCTAGGATTCTTGGATAAGCTGTAAATAAACATAAAAAAACATAAATATTATTCTTGTAAATACGAAAGGTACCAAGAGGTCCGTGAAAGCATTTAGTATATTCTCAACAAGTGCATAATAGTATATTATGCAATAAATGTGGTAGACGATATTATAAACGAGTGACTTAAAGAGTTTATCAAAAGTGTTGCAGACGACATTTAGTTTTTCGGTACATTTTCGCAAAACAACACAATAGTATATTATGCAACAAGTGCGGTAAACGGCATTTGCTTCATAACTTTATTTGACACGAGCGGAGCGCAGAGTCAGAACGAAAAATGTTAAAATTCAAGCCGTGCGGTAAAATCTCCGAAAACATCCAACTACTCCCAAATCCGTGCGGTAATATCCCGGAGATATCCGGAGGGTTCGTGGGACAAGAAACTCACGTAGTAAAGTGCGATTTCCGCCCACTAAATCAGTGTATAATTAGGTATTTTCCAGAAGGGAGTGGAAAAAGCAAGCTGCCGAATCCTTTGACCTCTAGCCGAACGACTCCTTTCTGTGGGGTTACTTGAAAAGTGTTCTATAAAAATTTTAAATTTGAAAATCTTAGCCAGGTACAAAACGCTGTTCGCTTAGAATGTGACAGTATTTCACAATATCAACTAAGCATTGCTAGAAATGAATTTTATGATCGCTTAGGATAGCGTTTAACTGATAATAGAGGGTGGGTTGTATGAACATTTACTTAAAAAATAATGTGTATTTTAAAAAATGTTTCTTTTTAGTAATGTTTTGTAGGCGTATTTTTATTATAATTATTAATTATTTTTAATAAATGACTTCAAGGTCAAATTTATACTCGTCCCTTGAAGCTTCCTTGTTACTTTCGAAAATCGATGAAATCGAATTTTCGAAAAAAAAATTTTTTTTGTCTGTCCGTTCTCCGTTCTCGTCTTTTGGATTTTGCTGAATAACTTTCGAACCGTTGGAGCTACAAAATTAAAATATGCCTCCTTTTTAACCATCGACGAGGCACATAACCTTGTAAGAAGTGACCCTGATCCGACGCCGGCATCCATCTTTTTTTCGCGATTTTCGACGGTTGTTTGCAACGTGCTATGAAACACGATAAGTGTCCGAAATTTGAAGCAATCGACTTCATATCTGACACATATATGCGGCTTTACCCCGTGATGGAACCTGTTGAAAATAGGGGGGCTGGAGGGTCGGGAAGTATTCTAAAAAAATAAAAAATTGCGTGTGTAAGGGTCTACAAAAAGCATCATTTTTCAAAAACTATTTCCAAGACCAAAAAAATTTTCGATCCAGAAGAAGCAGAACAAAATTTATCAAAAATATACAGGGTGCTCCGCAAATTAAAAAAAACTGAAAAATGGGTCCCCCTATTAATGAAAATTGGTTATAACTGAAAGACTATGATTCAGATCTTAGTTTCTTTTATATTACAATATAGGCCGTATAGATAGCAAAAACTTTTGTATTTAAGGTTTTCACCTATTGTACAGGGTGTTCCCTATATTCCGTGCTAAATGAGAAATGTGTTAGGTGTCATAAATTTGCAGATATCAACTTCAAATTTAGCAGAGGAGTAAAAGTCCGTGTCCACATTTAAACTGTGAAATTGGGCGCAATCAAATATTACCAAGTATTTTTTAAATATATTTGAATTTGTTTTTTTTTTTGGTAAGTTTAGCTTCCAGAAACATATGTTTTCCTCCATAATCGTTCATCCGATTGGCTAAATTCTTTAACCGACAGACGCAGAAGATCCAGTGCAATAACATTTATTTCAGGCATTTTTTTCGATTCTATACAGGGTTTTCAAATTATAGGCAGAAATCTAGAAACCTAGAAAATTGTTTTTTTTACAGAGTAAATTGTTAGCCGCAAATCAAAAATCGTAAAAAATATGGCTAATTGGTTAAAACGGTGTCATAGGCCGAAAACCATTTTTCATTTTCCAAAAATTCTTGAACCAAGATGCGTGGAAAATCCAAGGCTATAACCTCTACTTCGAACAATTATGGTATCATAATGGTGTGTCGTTTATGGGCAAAAATTCTAAAATATACTTAAAATTTCCGTTTTTGTGGCTAAATTTTTGGCGATAAATGAAAAACCGTTAAAAATGGGATAATTTTATTTGAACAGTATCGTAAACCGTGTCGTGAGAGTTTCAGGTTTCGTCAATTATACAGGGCGCGAGATATTTGCAAAAATATCATTCGACAACGCTTTGAAGTTCGACGAGATGTGAAGGACATTTGATACAGGGTGCGTGCACAATTAAATTACATCGATTTTGCAAAAGCTCCATAGTGGTCCGCAGGAGCACGATAGAAAAACAATGCGTCTCTTTACCATACGAAATCGCGAAGTTCTTTCCTTTTATAATAAAAAGCTGCTTCGCGCTACGCGCTACGAACTTGCCCCGCCCAGTGACGATTTTTCGAAAGCAATCTTGTTGCTTAAGCCGTCCTTTGAATGAAATTCATTTCAAGAACGCTTTAAAACACAAGGAGCTCTTAAGGACCGAGTATGAGTTTGATCCTAAGAAAAACATAATGATATACCCACATGCTTAGTTTATTTTAAATGTGTGAAGGCAAATGTGCATGTCTTCATTGCAAACCAACCTTTATTTAATATGTTATTGTCCAGCTTGACCTCGTGAAGTTTTGTAAATAGCGTCATGGGAAATATTGGCTAATCATACCGGCCCCTTGAAAAAGTTATATTAAAAATTTGCTATAAAATGTACAGCGGAACCTAAAATTTACATGAGATTTTCTATGTTCCCTTCACCCGGTATGTGATATTATGAACGTGTTGCAACCAGACGTGACCACTCGTACTTTCGCCCTTGCGCGGCCTCGCGATGTAGGATGCCTTGGTCAGAATTTACACGTGATATTGACGCATGATAAACATCTTTCGGTTGACTGGGTGATGAGCGGGGTCGAGAAATAAAAAAACGTCATCGAAAAAATCAATTTATAACGACGAAAACGCTGATGATGACTTAAGCATAACAATAAATAACAAAATCGAACTAAACGAACGGTTTGGGGAAGAATGCGCGGCGGAAAAGATTAAAAACGCCGTAGGTGGTAAGAAACGGAACGGCGAACTGAACCCGAAATTTAGACGTTTCGAAACGCGTGTGACGTTCCTATAACCTAATATCACAGTTACACGCGAAATCCCGAACGCAATTAATCTTTTACGGTGCCGCGACGTCGGCGTTTTCAGAACTTGCACCCGAACCAGGCGAACACGGCGATCAAGAGGGCCATGTGGTGATGAGCTGAAGGTACCAGAGCCGCGGAACAGTACCCGTCCTTGTAGGTTTTCGACACCGGACACTGGCAGAGACTGTTGCGACACTCGAAACTGTCGTTCAGCACCGCCGTACAGTTGCGACGGGTCGAACACGTCGAGCCGTAACCTGAAAATGTTTTTTTTTCTGAAGAAACTTCCACAGAGTACAAATCTTCTGTTGGCTTCTTTGCAACTTAACTAAAAAGAGACGCTGGAGGAATCCATATGATTTGTAAATAGTATTAATAGTATGAAAATGCTCTCGACTGACGTTCGCACCCACAGAGTAGAGACAAAACTGGTGCCGTTTTTCTATGCGCAAGCGCGAAGTTACTGTGGAGGATTCTGTCGGTGGCATTGCACATGGCGGTTTAACCTCCGTTCGCTCCCGACAGAATCCCTTGTATTCGCCCCTAAAGTTCGAAATCGGTCTCCAATGTGTGGATTTGGTGTTTGTGGTGTTAAGTGCGCGTTTTGGTGTTATTGTCGTCGTCGGCTCCGTCGTTTTTTCTCGTTCACGCCGGTATGGAGGCCGGATGGGCCCGGTTGGTGCGCGGGGGAAACGAGGGAGGCCGTTTTTTGTGATCAGTTAAAGATTATTGATCGGTCAACGAACAAATGTTGATTATGTTTTATTATGTATTGGTCTGTGACCAATAGAAAAAAATCCTCGACGGAAGTCGGTAATGGGCGAATTTCCTTAGTTGATTTGCCCACTTGAAGGAAAAGGAAAGAGAGTTACTGTGGATATTTGTCAGCTGCTCGCCCATTCGCTGCATCTAATTTGATTTTTGCTATCTTTTGTGTAGAAAAGATTTTCAGTATGCCTATATGCGTGGATGTCATTTAAAAAACTGCTTCTACTTACATTTCGCCTAATCCGAATGTGTTCTACAATGATTACTTTTTCGTGAAAATAAATACATGAAAATTGTGTGTTTTGGTACTATGTTGTGGTTAGAAGCTTAGCAACTATAAAATGTACGAGCACCTTTCTAAGGACATTTGTCCTTATTGTCCTTATTTCCAAATACTCGCGACAGAGTTTGCGACCAAAGATAAATTTAGGTCAGTTGTTAATAAATCAAACTTCCCTCCATCCTGTTGGCTTCTTCAGAGCTTAACTGAATCTGGCTATTATTCTACTCTGTACCTGTTTATATACTGTATGAGGGAAGCGTAGTTAAAGGAGGGGATGATATCAGTAGTACCAACGGAAAATCAGACCGAACAGAAAAATCAATCTTAAAATCTACTTCCAGGTCCTTCAACTGCTCCCATTTTTACAACATTAGAAAATATTAGTTCAATACCGCTTTTAAATAGAACGAAAAACAACAGGGGAAGAAAAGTTAGCAAACCAACTGGAATTAGAACAACCATTTCAGAAGAAAAAAGAAATAAATCCCAAGACAAATAAAAGAGGAAAATAAATTTTGGAGATAAAGTCACCCAAGGAGAGAAAACAATTAACCGGCAGAAAAAATGCAAAGAAAAGACCAACTTGTAAATCAGGAGAATAGCCAAGTTGTGCTGAATTATGGGTTCAGTGCGTTTCTTGCCCTCGACGGGCACATGAAAATATGAGGGTTTTGTAGTAGCCATCAATGTTATACGCCAAAGTGAAGTTTTGATTTATTGTTGATTTGATTTATTGTTATTATTGTTATTACACTAGTTTTTACAGCAGCAGAATGTTGTATCATGTAAGAATCATTTTGACACTTTCTTTAAAATTTTAAATGTTTTATTTTTCAGAAAATTAGTTTTTATTCATTTTGATAATTTTTTTAAAGGATTACTTAAACATTTGTACTTTTATTTGTGTATTTTATAGAAGCGAGTAGAAAAATAATATTACATTAACCTGTGGAAGTTTCTTTTAAAAAAAATGATTCATAATAATACAGCAAGTTATCAACATGGTCCCCGAGAGATCGTCATCAAGTTTAGATGGGGCAATTTTTGGGGCAGTATTTACTTAAAATATGCCTAGATCTCATAAAATGGTCTGGTTAAGTGTGTAGAAATCGTTGTTTAGAAAGAAAAGGGCTCAAAGTGCGGGCTAGTGGATGAAAAAAGAGAAATTTCAAAAATAACAAATATAAGAAAACTCGTAGAAAATAATTTCGTCACATTTTTAAAAATTCTATAATAAGAGAAAGCCCTCCTTTGTCAGAATATAACAGACCATTTTAATTTATCTACGTCTTTAGGACCCGAGTTTGTTACCTAAATGAATGATTTTGAAAGAATTTTAAAATATTTTGGCAATTTATGGTGTGTTATCGATTTATTTCATTGTTTGTATTTTCTTATTTTGTAACCTGTTAAATTAAAAAAATCTATGTGGCATGTGCGAAAAGTATCTGCAGCACTCACGGCGACTTCAGCAAACTTCTTGTTTGTGCAACAAATATCCAGTTTTTCCAACACAAATATTTTTTCTATCTTCAAATTAAAAAGGGACACCAAATTCACCACACAATAACAAAAACCTTTTGGAATAGCGAAAACAAAATAAATTTAATTTAGTTTTTAATAAGTTAATGTACTTTTTTGAAATGTTTTTTCAGAATTGAGAAATAATTAATTCAACAGATATTAGAAAGAAGTTTTTGCATTCACCTTTTCGAGCATCCTCCATATACTAAAAACATATTTTTTTCTGCCAAAATCCGAATCGTCACTCATTTACTAGAAAAACTCGCGACTAAAATCACAATAGTTTCCTTAAGTTTTCAATTTCCTAAATTACGAAATGCTTCTGTGGTAAAAACAATGAATTGGTATGTTTACTAAAAATAAGTACTTACAACCTCAATTTACAAAAGTTTCGAAATAAAATCATCAACTTCATTTTTTTTAAATACAGACCTGCATTTTTTATTTAATATTTGGAATAAGCTTGTCAGTCTGTCTGGAAAAATGCATGTATCACATTTAATTATTTACTGAACAATAAGGCCCCAAAATTGACAATAAAGCCAAATTTTCACAATAAATAAGATGATCATGACACAGAAGCGTTATTAAGTCAAAGAGGTTCGACGTATTTGTTAAATACTAGAGTTTAATTACATTTAACTTTGGTAAGTAATTATTACTGTAGCGAAAAAGACATTTTTAAACCAAATATAAAAAAATATCATCTGCATCATTAAATTGAAATGTTAAATAAAAGATGCAAGTCTGTATTTGAAAAAAATAAGTTGATGATTGACGACCAAAAAACCGAAACGTCATACCTAAAACTAAATAATGCCAACTTGTAGAGGAGAAAAAGTTGCAACGAGACAGTGTCATTTGTTTAAAAAAAAAATCAAAAAATTAAAAGGAATTGTTGATTTTTCGTTTTTTCCGGATAACTCCGAAACCAATTGGAATTTTCACCATTTCTGAAGCCGGTTTAAATTAGCATCAAAATGTTGAACTTTACCTCCATTTTACCGAATTCTTACGGTTTCCTAGATCCCAAGTTAAATTCAAATACAAAATTTCGATTTGAAACCAAAATGTCTCCTATTTTCTTCGATTGCACCTTTCACAATTTTGACGTATTTGTCACAATAAGAAAAATGTTATATTTCAAAAATTCTCCCCTTAATCCCTAATATAGTCCAGTCAGAGCTATCGTGCAGTTACGTCATAGCATGACATCCTTATCTTTTTCTTTGTTAGTTAAAATATACGGATAATTTTTGATTGCGTCACTATCCGTGACGTAACTGCGCAACTGCTCTGACTGGACTTCACGACGTAAGTGTGTAAAGATAGCTTTATCGTAGGACTTAGACGTAGACTTACTTTTCTGCGCGTAACAGGTGGCGTTGCGGTCGACGAAACTTTCCGCGCAGATGCAGCCTGTCTGCGTCGCGTTGGCCGATGTCGCGACGCCGCAGATGGCGTGATCGATCGACGCGCATTGCATGTCGACCACGCAGTTATCATACAAACGTTCCGCGACTACAAGGAAATAAGTGCCGGATCAGTGAGTGATAAGACTGATTATAAACAACAACTTCTGGATTCCTCCAGCGTCGGTGGTTGATGAATCGAACTTGTTGACGTTTCGCCAATCATTCTGTTGGCTTCTTCAGAGCTTAATTGAAACTGACTCGGAATTCTACGCTGTACCTGATTATATATTGTTTGAGGGGGGGGGGGGAGTTAAAAGAGGGGCGTGAACATTGTCTCGGATGACTGATTCCCACACTGGTGAAAAGTTGCTTATAGATTTTGAGATATTTTGGTTGATAGAGGAATTGATTATTTGCAAGAATTTTGCTTTTATCGATAAAGATTTTATGTCCGGTTTCGTGAGTGTATTCGTCACCTGCTGGTGCTGCTGATGCTGATTTAGTCTTAAGGAGCTTTCATGTTTTTTGTGCGTACACGGGGAAAACAAAATACTTGGTTCAAATAGGTTAAGTTCAATTTGAGCATAAGTAGGTTTTGCATATACTCAAGACCTTTGTCGGCTTAAAATAAAAACGGCAAATTCTCAATATCTTAACTTTATTTTAACAAAATTAAATTATTTTACAGCTTTCTTTGGGTATTTAATTTTTTTTAAACAAAGATGTAGGTAATTCAAATTCAAATATTTATCGCCTAATTTTAAATATTATGCAACAAGAAATGAGCATACACCGATTCGTTTTAAAAATATAAAATTTCTCTATTTAAATGAGCATAGTTTTATATTGGATTTTTGCTAGTGAGACATATACTTGAAAATATTCATATAGTTGTTTTAAGTCAATCAATGTCAATTCCATCCAACAAGTTTGTTTGTTTTGTTTGATCTTATCCCAGTTTGGTAATTTTCCCATAAGAATTGAGTTATTTTTAAAGAACATTTTTGTAAATTCTGTTTAAAAATTGAAAACTTTTATTTTCGGCTACAATACAAATTATTTTTCAGCCTATTTTGATAATTTTTAACAAATAAAAGTAGATAAGAAATGCTTTTAAAAATGGACTCTTTCAGAGGTGTTACTAAAGACGCATTATTAATTATGACAAAAATAAATTTCTACCATTGTTCAAAAACAGTGATAAATAACACAATAATACATTATTTGCATTAATTTTATCTATCCATAACTAGCATTTCTATTATTATATACAGAGAGTATTTGTGATCCAGAATGCAGATTTAATCTAACGTGTAAATAGTTAGCTTAAAATTACTTCTGGGTAAAGAAAAAAAAAATTATCAACTTTTTCATTTACTCTGGAAAATATTTTTACTACCGTGTAATTTGTATTGTAAAAATAATGTAAAAAAGAGAATGAAGATTAACTGTTTTTTATTAACAAATCATACAAATTCTTAAAAACTAATGAACATGTTAATTGTTGCTACCTAAAATAAAGAACTATACAAAAGTTATGGCGCATATTCTTTCTTATCCTCAAATACATTTAAATTAAACAAAAGCAACTACTTCAAGACTGTGTCATAACATTTTTTGCTCTGTATCTAGTTTTGTAAAAATAGAAGGATCCATACACCACATGCAAATTTCAGAAACATCCCTACTACTAATATAGTAATAATAGTGTTCGTTTGATACTATTATAACGGACTCTGGAAGGCCCCAACTTTTCAATGTGTCTTCTATATTTATTGCTTACAACACTTACACCTTACACCGGCAGAAACAAAAACTGCACTGAAAGATTGCATGCAATCGTTATACTTCGTCTGGCTTCGTACATCCACGATATGCGATCATCTCAAACCAAACAGTACTGTGCGACTACATAATATAATACTATAATCAGAAGTGCATTTCATTTGAATATTAGGTCGTTTAAAACAGAAAATAGGTATACTGTTTACCTTTATATAATTGTATATCATTTTAAGGAGGCAACGCTTTCCAGCAACTTCAGAAGAAGAATTTGTAATTTAGGAATAAATATTTGAAACATTTTAAAGGAATATTTACTAAAATAAAAAATATGTCTTGAAAATATCATATATTTTAACCGATGTCCTTAATTTAAAAATACTTAAATTTAAAGCGAGTATAAAATATTGACGAATTCAAGATGTTGAGAGATTTTTGAAGTGGAAATCTCGAAAATCTGGCTTTGACGTTATATTTCTTAAGAACTTTTGATACGTCGTAGTGATCTTCTGAATGTGTCAGGTTGCTTTCGGACTCATTGTTTTTGGGAGGCTGTATTGAAGTGCATTTTGGTGATGGATTCAAGTGTGGAAATTATTAGAAAGTAGAGCAGATGTCAGGGTTAATTCTGATTTCAGTTTTAAGGTTCTCTAAACAAGAGGGTCGATGACATTAAGGTATGCATTAAGGTATCGGTCTGTGTACCTAAACAGACTGACCCAATGTTAGGTCTGATTTTCTATTGATAAGAATATCTGAATTATTGTTAATAAATGGCTAAGAAAATATGAATCAAATAACAAAAGTATCGTCGACATAGCGTTTCCCTAATTTTGGTTTTAGATGGAAGGTGTCGAGGACCTCTTTCTTAAGTGCTACAGTGGCCTGTGGAAGTTTCTTTGAATTGAGTCCAAGATTTCCACGTTCATGTCTTTCCTATATTTTTCCTATTCTTTTTCTTTTAGTTTAAAAAAGACAAAATATTACAAAATGTCAAACATTTTCTGAATATCACAACTGTAACACAAAAAACGAAAACTCGTTACTTTCCCAAAACCGATGAAATCGACTGTCGTGAAGTTGGTAACGGTCCAGAACGACTCAGAGACGAAAAAAAAGATTTTTTTATTTTTTCTGTTCTCTGTTCCTGGTTCTCTGTTCTCCGTAACGGACCATCGGGAAGTTTTTGAAGACGGATAACATTCGACCCGTTGGAACTACGGGCTTCAAATTAACATTTATCGTAGATTATTGACCTTAACCGACAAACCGTGACAAACAGCGCAGTTTGGTTTTAAAGTCCTTTTAGGGCAATTGAAGAGCTACAATTTTACATAACATCGATTATCAACTCTCTTGTTTACAGAGCCGTTAATGATTCTCAAGCCGAGTCACTAAACCCAAAATTAAAATACATTACGAAAGCAACACCTGCCACTATGGTCCTTTCTTAAATTCAAAACTTTACTGACCACATATCAAAAAACATTAAATCGAGACAAAATTCCGTTTGAGATATAAGGAATTCACAGCATTTTATGCATATGCAGCAGCGAATGCATTGGAGAAACGGGACGAAAAATATAAAATGAACATGAAAGAGCTTCAAAAGTGCTACAAATAAACGCATCAGCAGTAATCATCAGGATATAAAATGTAACTCTTTAACAACATTTAAAATAAGATTAAAGCAAGTATCCACTGCAAAAATATTCATTCACTGTAAGCAGTTCTTTTACATAACCTTTTGATTATCATCATTTTTATGAAAAATTATATAAACCACAAAAGCAGTCTATTAACACCGAACACAACATATATGGCGGAACGTCAACGAGTTCGACTCAACAACAATCAACGCAGGAGGAATCCAGAAGATGTGTAAATAGTATTTTAGTAGCATTTTTAAAACATTTTCTTCCATTATTGTCGGAGGTTGGAGTCTATAAGAGGAAGCAGAGTTACACTAACCTTTAAAGCAATGGGTCGTGTTTGACACGTAGCCGGTGGTACATTGACAGGTGTTATCCCCGCCGGGGTTGCTGCTGCAAGTCGCGTCTTCTATGTGCGAACAGTTTCTGAACGAGCACGATCCGCCGAGTGCTGAAAAAATTACGCGGCAACGATTTTTATCTACTTTATTGTTAATATATCATATTTTGCTTAATTAACTATTGGCGATTTAAATTCGAATGATACACAGTTGAAATCATATGTTCATACTCATGATTTGCGACACCGTAGTGTCACTGGACGTAAGGGGTCACAACAAACATCAAACGATTGATGCCACTTGCACGCAACGCTGGTACACCCTAACTGACGAAGACTCAATCCCTATAAAAGATCAAGACAATAGAGGAACGCAATAGGAACCTCCCTCAACCAAGGTCATTCGCAAAAGAATTGCATGGCTTGGCTCATACCTAAGAAATTTTTGCAGATCGGCAAGATGAGAGAACTGGACAGATGTTATATCTCTATTGCAGGCATCTCTTAGACACACTGGAAGAGAAATGGTCACTTCACGACCAGCAACAATAACATGATACTCCACTCATCCAACTAGAGAGCAATAATGGCGCAGCTTTTGTATTATCTGCTAGAACAAGCAGGTACCATCTGGCCTACGACGCCGTGAACGATAATAAAAAAAAATCCAAGCCGATATGCAACAACGCAACGAATGAGGAGAAAGACTGATCATAACAATAAGTCAATATGTCAACGCGGACTATACAAATGAACATCTCCAGATGGTAATGACACCAGATTGACTAGTTCTTGGTGAGAACTTGCTGGAGGACGTCAATCGGCAGCTCAAAAAAGCTCTACCAGGAGCAGGTTGAAGGTCAAACTCAAAACCCCGCCCCTAAATAAAACACCAGACAAGCTGCAGACCACCAACAAATAACAATTTAGACAGTTGATAAACAATAAGGTTCTAAATGTTCTATCCTCCAAGAAATGTGACCTAATTCAATGTGAGAAAAAAACAAAAACCATAGCCAAAGAAACCATTAAGGAGCTGCCTAAAAGAATAATCGAAAACAGAAAGAAGAGAACCTTGGGGCCGGCTGTAGAACGGATAAAAACAGATATATCCGAAACACCATCACAGTACAAAGAATACTAATGATTGGTATCCATTACTAAGAAAAATCAACAAACAGTTTACACTCCGCACACGAACCATCGAGAGAACAACTGGGAACAAAGTAACCAATATAAGCCCTTTTTGACCACAACGGACACATAATAAACATAGAATATGAGGAAGAAGAACCAACCATATTGAAAACGAGATCAGACCCGCACTACAAAAGTGATAAAAGCAATGGGAGACATAAGGCACCGAATATGCCAAAGAGTCTGATCAATTGGATCCTGGTCCAAAGATTGGGCCACAACAGTAGTTATGAACTTGGAAAGTTGCAACTATGGCCTGAATCTTAACCATGATAAGACAAAGATCATGATCGTAGATAGACAGCACAACAACCGACCAGACATAATAGAGATAACACAGTGTCAAATGTTAAACCAGTTCATACAGTTGGGAGTATTAATAACAAATGAAGGGCAATGCACGCAAAAAATTAAGAGACGATGTGAGATGGCAAAACGAGGAACAAATAGCTTGGACAAGATCTGAAGGGACAGTGCACTCGCACTAAACACAAAAAAGAGCATTTTCAAAACACTGCGCTGATTCCTGGACTATCAAGGAACAAAAGGAAAATCGATGCCCTAGAAATGTATTGCTGGAGACTAGTGCTGAGTTTGTCTTGGACGGCACCAAGAACAAATGAATCTATCCTAAAGAGAGATCATAGAAATTCAGCGACATATACAAGAAGTAAATCGCCGTATACTTAAATACTTTGGACATATATAAGAAGAAGAAGAAGATTGTCACTGACACTCTGGGTTGATCATTTTCTGTTTTTTTTTTCTTGAATAACCTTAAACAATTGCACCGTGTAATGAATCAGAAAAACAAGGTTCTTAATCTTGTACTAATTAAGCTTGACAATTTGCCCAAAATAATTTGCTAAGTAGTTATAATTGGATGAATCTTAAATAACAGAAAAAATTTGAAATCTGTACTTAAATGAATCTTAATGTGTCTTTTTCTTCATTTCTTCGATATTTTTGAGTTTTTCTCCTAAACCGTTGTACACTGTGTCGCAACTGAGAGGTATGTCTGTTATTAGTGAAGATAGAGATTTGGGTTTTCGTAAAATTTTGGTACTTTTTTAAGAAACCAAAGATGGCTCGCTAAGTTTTTAAAATACAGGGTGATATTGGAAATTTGAAGTTTCGGGCCACCCCTCATACCTCGTTATGGTCTTTTTGGAAAAAAATAAAATTTGGTTTTTTGAACGGAACACCCTATATCTTATGGCTTCTCAAAAATGTATAACAATATGGGGTTATTTGTAGAAAAAGGATTTATTAAATATCTGAAGTAATTACCGTATTTATTCCTGACAATACTTACACAATAACTTTTATAATTTGCATGAAACCAAAGATTATATTCTCATTACATTAACATTATGTGTAACATTCCACATAGATTTTACAAAAAATATTAAAGGGTAATAAATTTAATAATAATTTAATATTTTTGAAGTAAATTACGCGAGGCCATCTTTTTGCTAGGAATGTAATTTGGTCAGATGAAACTTTCATTAGCAGTGTCAGTATGTCTAATAAACAAAATGCTCGGTATTGGTATCAATATGAGCCAGAGCAACAGGACGTTTTAATTTCAGTGTGGCCTATTTCATACTAGGCAATAAAATCATATTTCGTATTTTTGTAGGTGTTTTGATTGATTGGAAATATTGCAAGGTGTTATACCAGAATTACTAAGTGTGTTGCACATAAATTCCATATTTTTTCAACAAGATGGTACAACCACGTATAATTCTAGACAAGTAAGGCCCTTCCTAGAAGACAAGGTGACGACATTTAAATAATAAAATAAATTTCAAACACCACAATAATATCAGAGACCTCCGAGCAGCCACTGAAGCAGCTTTTGCAAGTGTGTAGGTTGTGCGTTAGAGAAAGTGGTCGATATTTCGAACAGTTATTTTAGCTTTATAAAATAAAATAATTATATTGAGATTTGCATTATCGTCTTAAATAATTGTAGGTCACAAAGCTACGTGAAATATTACAAATAAAATGTTAATAGTTATTGTGTAAGTATTGTCAGGAATAAACAAGGTAACTATTTTGGATATTTAATAAATTCTTTTTCCAATGCCAACCACAAATTAAAAAAAAAAACATTTTTGTGAGGGCATCTATACAATTAACACCATATTGATATACATGTTGGAAACGCTTATACCAATCGGAATCAAATTGGCCTATAAGACAAAATAATTTAGAAAAAAACCACTTAACGAGTCTAGATATTTAAACCTTTTGCAGAATGATTTACATCAACTTCTTCACGAACTCAGTAACATTGAGAGCCAACAAATGTGGTGATGATTGATTTTTGTGGTGAAGAATATGTTAAAGATCGTGTTTATATGAATTCACCTACAACATCAAAAGGAACGTCCAAGAAAATATACAAAAAAGACTATTCAAGTAAAAGGGCATATTTTTGAACATTTATTGCCTCACAGTAATAATTAAAAATAAGATAAGGTAATATGTAGTAATAGGTATTTAATAATATTTACTATTTCTGTGAATTCACAATTTGTTGATTTATCTACGCCTCCAACAAAGTTCATTTTTTAATCTTAACAGAGCCCTATTTTGTCCTGGACAAATAATGTTATGTTATGACCGACTGTCTTTGATCTTCAGCTCCCTTAGAGTAGATTCATTGGTACGTTTCTCAGACGCGCACTGGTTACTTATTACACAAATTCATCTCCATTTTCTGTTTGTGAGGTTCGGACGTGGAAGCATTCCCGCTCTGTCAATTACCATCAGTTTAGTCTTGCTGAGATTTATTTCCAGACCCATCCTAGCACTTTCACTTTCCACTCTGTTCAGCATCATCCTCACGTCGGTCTCATATCTCGCTAACAGCGTTATATCGTCTGCATATCGTAGGTTTGTCAGTTTTTCCGTTTTTTACCACCTATTCTGGTTATCTATTCTCACTATGGCTTCATTTGATTCATATAGGTTCTTAATTATTAGGTGATTCGCTACTCCCATTTCTCTTAGTATTTGCCACAAGCATTTCCATTTTACTCAGTCGAATGCTTTTTTATAGTCATTAAAGCAGAGTAGCAGAGTAGATTCTCTTGATTTTTCTATTAGTTGTCTAATATTGAAAATTGGGTCTCGTGTTCCTCTTCCTGTCACAAAGTCGGCTTGCTGGTGGTATTTGTGAGTCTAGATGTAACGGTGTAAGCGGCGGTCGATTATTCTTAGGAGAATTTTGCTGGCGTGTGATCAAAGAGATTGTTCTATAGTTTTCCCATCTTTTGGTAGAACCTTTCTTATGTAAAGGGATAAATAAATGTGGACTTAATCCAGACAGTTGGCCATGTCTTCGAGTGCCAGATCTTGTTGCAAATGTAAAATAGTATGTCTATCACCGGTGCCTCCAGTGTCTTTAGTTCTGAATATTCTCCTCCTAGATCTCGATTGTCACCGTAAAGTTTTTCGCAGTACTGTTTCCATCTATTCAGAACTTTTTCTGTCTCCCACAATATAGTTCCGCTTTTATTCTCTTTGGCCAGTAAATTCACTTTCTGGAAAAGATCACTTGTTTGGCTGGTATTTTTGTGCTCTTCAATATCTTCGCATATCTTTTTGATATATTCGTTTTTCTCTTTTCGACATCTTCTCTGAATTTCTCGACTAAGGTCAGCGTGGTTCAATTGATTTTGATTCTTGTTTGGAATGTTTCTCCTTTTCTCAATACTCCTCAATGTCTCCTCCGTCATCCAGTGCTTGGTCTGCCTGTTTTTTCCATTGGTCTTTTGATGTTCATTGATTGTCCCTTCAATGTTGCTTCTAAATGCTTGCCATTCCGATTCGCATTCGTTATTTCTGTTTATTTCTGTTTTGAGCAGTTTTGTTTCTTGCATGTTCAAACTGGGTACTGGTTGGGGTGATTTTTTATTTTTCAATTTTGGTCTCATATCTGCAGCAAGCAATTGGTGGTCTGATCCACAATCTGCCCCGGTATTCAATTTGATTCCTGTAGCTGTCCACGGGTGATTTCCACGTATATAATCGTCGAATATGATGTTGGAATAAAGTATTGGTTATAAGCAAAACTGTAGCATTAATATTTTTTGTTTACCTTTCCCGAATTCTGCGATTATTGTAATGTATTGTAAATGTTTCTGATTCGTTTTGATCCACGTGCTCTAAGCTCTGAGTAAACTTGCTTGTATAAATAATTAAACAAAATCAAGATTTTCGTAATACCGAATAGTTTAACACGTTTAAAACAAGCAAAAAGTTTTATAAATGCTTCTACAAAAAGAACTACTTACTCGGGAGGCATAGACCGTCGATCCTCTCAAAGTTCTCGACACACGCGCATTCCTGGTCCCTGCATTCTTCGTTCACCGGACACTGGCTGCTCTTGGTGTCGTTCAAGCATTTTCCTACACGCAAAACGTTATAGTTTGTAGTCAGGACCGGATTTACATACATAACAGATATGATCGTTGGATAGGCAGAGATGGCAGAGTTGCCGGCTAATAACCAGAGATAGTTTAAATCCTGGTTATTAGTCGGCTACTCTCTGCCGATCCAATGATCATATCTGGCATTTAGGTAATCAGTAACTGGATCTGTATTGTGGGGAAGTGCCCCATCTTGTTGCCAAACCAGGACTGGAAGATATTCCAATTACTTCTAAATGTAAATATCTATTGCTCGTCATATCCATCAAGAAAAAACGGTTGGTCACCATACAACACCACACACAAACCGATCTACGACCCTGACTTTTTATTTGTTGAATTTTATATGGGTTTTCATTTGCCCAATAACGCTGATTGCCGTGGTGAAGGTGGCTTCATCAGTAAAAATAATTTTTCCCGGGATCATCTGTTATATGCCTGGATATTTCTTGACAATATTGTAAGTGCTGAATTTGATTTCCTTCAGATAAGCGTTGAACTGGAATAAATTTTTGGGGGTGGTATTTCAAAGTGGACTGAAAATGTAATATGACATTTCCAATTGTGCGGCAACAATTATATAATTATATAATTATATATATATATATATATATATATATATATATATATATATATATATATATATATATATATATATATATATATATATATATATATATATATATATATATATATATATATATATATATATATATATATATATATATATATATATATATATATATATATATATATATATATATTGAAACCAGGAGAAAAAGGTCTTTCGTCATAACAGAAAATATATAAGGTATTTATTCTATTTAAAAATAAAAAACTTGCTACTGTTTCTCAACTTTACGATGGGCATTTGTACACTGTGTCCCATTTTGATCGCGACTGAAGGATATGTGGGTTGTTAATGAGGATAGAGCCTTTTTAAAAACATAGGGTGATTTTGGAAATTTGGAAATTCCGGAAAGGTGAAAAGTGCATCCGATATAGATTTTTACGTAGAATGCAGTGGTGCAGTCAGTTTTTTTTCTAAATGGTATTGGCTTTAAAAAAAATTATTTGATTGCGCTTGGCATGGGCTTCTCAAAAAATGATATGAGGTTATTTGTATAAATGACCTCACAAAAATGATGAAGCTCGTACCAACCGGAATCAAATTGGCCTCTAAGATATAGTGTTCCATTAAAAAAAAATCATAGGATACCCAGGATACGAGGGGTACCCCAAAAACTTCAAATTTCCAAAATCACCCTGTATTTTAAAAAGTAAGAAAGTCATAAAAAATTTGTTAACGTCTATCCTCATTAACAACGGACGTACCCCTCAGTCTCGATCAAAATGGGACACAGTGTAATTTGCGGGGCCCATTTTTTGCCCGTTTAAGTTTCGAGCATCAAACTCACCTTGGAGCAAGCTTTCATCGGTCACCTCGCAATAGAATCCCGTTTCGTCGAACCTAGACGCTCTGTTGCACTCGCATTGACCGGTCGTGGAGTTACAGAATGCGTGGGGCCCCATCGCTTGGCACCATCCGTCGTCCATGCAAGACTTGGTCACCTCCAAAGTGGCTGCGGAACAATCGAAAGACTATTGACAAATGGTCTGTGATAGCATAGTCGGCAATAAAATACCATCTTGCTTCCATTTATTCTTCAACAAAGGTTCCTCCCTAAATGTCTATCTGATCAATGTAAGACAGCCGTCACTAACGATCACGATTATATTACTTGGGAAAAAGGAAGATAGAATTAGCTGTACTTGGCATTTATTCATTTAACTAGTACGTCCATAATCAAAGATTCATGCATTTTCTATTTAATAATAGGCCAAGATGTTACTTAATAATTTCTTAAATAACCTATTGTCCGAAGACTCCGTCCATGCAGTTAAAATTATCAACACCAAAAAAAAAAAACGAAAAATTAAGAAAAATATATAACATGCCAAGAGTAAATATACAAGTAAACTATATTTAGTTTGTATTTACGATGAAACATCTTCATCATCGGAGCCAAAATTGGAACTGGTACTGCCCGAAAATGATCCTTCGTCTACAAATAACACGTGTACAACGGTATTCTTTTATTATATTTTCTACATGTTGTATGACAACTCATCCAATTTCCTTTGGGAACTGTCTTTAGAGCTGCTTTCCCTTAGCTATACTCCCTTGCAATATGTTTATTAAAAATTATTTTGCTGGACTGAGCACCAGTCCAGAATAATTCATAATAATTAAAGACGTTCTTTTGAGTTTCAACAGCAGTTTTTCAAAAATGCGACCCTGTTTTGTAGGAGATCCTACTGTAGCGATCCGGTAATTGGTGCTATTTCTGTCAAGTGTACGACACCGGGGAGTAATAGAAAATAGAAAGAACACTGTCATGTAAATGGGTGGGATTTGTCATCCTTAATATACGAGTAGATGCAGGTAAAACACCGAGGAACCTTCTCTGTTGGTTTTATGACCGACTATGCCATCGCAAATTAGGATAAGTCTCAGGACACAAAATGCAATGAAGAATAAAAGTTATGGCGGCCTACTAATACATAAACAGAAAATGCACTATATTTCTTCCTTTTTTCATCACAGATACCAACAAATTTATATGGCGACACGGGTATATTTTCCTACCAATTATGAACTGTAAAAGAAATCTGAGTACGCCACTGCATTTGCCACAAAAATGCCCTAATAATGTTTTTATCCGAATAAAATCTTTTCGTAACAAAAAAAGATACAGGCAATTTTCAAAAGGGCCGAAAATTGAGAAACGCCCGATATCTCGGTTTTTTATTATTCCAATTAAAGGGTAACCTTGCGAGAACCCAAGATCCAACTTTATGTCCCACAGGAACGCATATCAACACATTTTTTTACCGAAAAATGTTTAAGGGGCAGCCCATGAATACCAAATTTCCTAGTAATTTAGCTTGGTACAATAGTGTTAATACTTACAGCAAATGTCTGACCGATGTTTCTGTGGCGCATTTGAATGTTCAATGTCTTCCTAGCAAGACTGACAGGCTAAACTAATTTTTAGATAAGGTTTCATTAAATTTTATTTATTTTTCAGAACATTGACTTGACAGCAAATCTTTGAAGATGAGTAATATTCAAGGCTTCTTCTCTCTTGCTTCTTCTTATCACGTATTTATTCAAACGGATTAATTGAAACCAACAATTTAGATATTTCAAACTTTAGTATAGTTTATAGCTCTTGTCTGTGCGACTTTCATTTGTTTTTAGAATTATTTGAACAAAAAGTCGTTCCGTTTGACCGATTCGGTCGGGAACCAACCCGGGTGACGCTTACATCAAGCACATGCCTGGATAACATATTCACGAACTTGGCGGGCTCGGATTACAGGCTTTGAAATTCTAGACCCTTGCAACTCTGACCATAAAACACAAATATTAAGAATAAAAAATAATTTTTCTTTTACCACTCCAAGTTTCACTGGGAGGTTTACCGTTACAATCGTTAACAATTTTAAACATTCCTTTTTGAAAACGAATTGTTTGTTTTCTTCAAATTTCGATGATAACTACTTATCGCAAATTTTATGCACTACTTTTAATAACCTCATTAACATTCACTTCCCTCCTAAAAAGGTTTATGGTACTTAATGGAAGCGTCCGGTGAATTGGTTTACCGACTCACTTCGTAAAAAGACATCTCTTATCAACAATAAAAAAAATTGCGACGCAAAAAAAGACCCCGCTTGCATTAATATTTACAGAAATTTCAACAGGGAATACGAGCAAGAAATCATAGCAACAAAAAAACTAGCATTCGATAATTTTATTTTTAACTCAAATAATAAAAGCACGAAATCATTTTACTAGCATTTCAGGTAATATAATAGATATAATTTCTTTTTCTACTCCTGTCTGTAAAATACCTAATTACCCACCTATCTAGCGTGCGGGAAGCGTCACTTTACCACGTCAGTTTCGTTTCCCATGAATCAGAGCCACTTCGGACATTTCCGGAATTTCACCGCACCGGTTTGGGAGGAATCGGATGTTTTCGGAGATATTTCCAACACTTTGAATTTTGACGTTTGTCAATTCTGTCGGTCATGTTAGTGAATGTATTCGTGTTGTTTTGCAAAAATGGACCCAAAAAGTAACAGTCGTAGATAAAGTATAGTATGCAACACGTTCGGTAAACTTTTTAACTCACTCGTTTGTTTATTAAACACTCGCCCCGCTGCGCTCCGCTCGTGTCAAATAAACTCGTGAGTCAAATGCCGTTTACCGCACTTGTTGCATAATATACTATTTTCATACTTAAACTCAATTGAACTTCTAAATTTAAATCACAATCGCAGTTATTTTGATAAATGGTATAATTTTCGTCATATATCAAAAACCATGATTTCGAAAGCCATTTAAACTTTTAAAAAATCGTCTTGCTTAAGTATCTATAATACCAACAATCGATTAATATGGTGTCACCATATGGGGTGAATATAGTCTGCAGCATGAGTGTTTCATCTTAAAGAAAAATCTCTCCGAATTCTTCTTGGTTTGGACTATAGAGATTCCTGTAGATCACATTTTCCCAGTTATTATTATGACTTTATCATCTATTTTCATGTACATAGAGATTCACCCTAATAATTCAAGTTTTTCTGTTCAGTCTGTCAGTCTGACACTGGCATTCCTACGCAAGGCGTAATGCGCATTAGTTAACGATTCTCCAATACCGTCTTAATAAATCAATTAAAAATTCTTTAAACCTGAACTTTTTCCATAAATTACTTTGTGATATAAAACGCATTGGTACCAGTTGTTCTAAGAGGATTGTGAAGCATCTGCTGACAATAAACTGTATTTACAATACTGATGAGTATAATACGACCAAAAATATAGTGCATTTATTGCTTTGACGTTTGAAGTATTTTACAGGACCTTAATCGCAGACCTTTGCAGGACATTGGTAAAACCCATACCAACAGATATTTATTCTGTATTAAGTAGGCCTTACCTGAGATGGACCGTAACGAATATTTGTAGAAACTTGAAATTTTTACTTGAAACGTAAATGGACCAGTTGAAATTAAGCATTGATGCTGCGGGTTATTTTCGAATAAGTAGAAGCGTTTATTTTAACATCAGCAAATATGTATCGTTTTTACGAGTTTAATCTAAATTGCAATATGTTTATATATATTATTTGACTGTGATCCTTCCAGAAACTACGTATTTATGTACCTGTTTCCGGAGCTTTGATCCTGCGAGGTTGTTTTCATTGGATAGGGTAAAGGTAAGGATAAGTACTATGTTACTATTTATCTTATAGGTAAGTGTGAAAATAATCACTTTTGTCATGTGTGCCGGTTGATTAACAACATTCTTCTTCTTATATTTTTGAGTCTTCTACACAGTTCTTCGATTTGTAAACAACAATAGCCTTTTTTATGAATGGAATGAAATGAAGCAGATCTTCCCTCATTAGAAGAAGATATGGAAAATAATGCAAAATTTGAAGACGAAGTGGAGATGGTAGTCGAATCTAATGACAATTTAGAAGATGAACTACCTCAGCAAATAAAATAATGGATCCATTTTTTTTCGATGTTTAAAATTTTATAAGACATTCAGAAGGGGAAGAGGAGCAGCAATAATAACGATTTATATGACCAAAGTTCCGAAGTCAACTGAATAAACATTAGTTGTGCCAAGGAGTCGTTGCGTACTTTTTTGAAGAAAATGGATTTTCAGTTCCAAATAATTAATAAACGTCAAATGCTAATGGAGTCTCAAAGAATTTCGCAATGAAGGGTGGATTATAATTCGACAAGAGGTAGCTCAAATACCAGTACAAAGCTGGTCTAACCGTGAAAAACGACTAATAAAAGAAGAAAATATTTATCGAGAACGATTAGTGGCGAAGTTGATCATTGAACTAGGTGGCGACAGTAGCGATAGAGACGATTTTTTAAGTGACTGACACGTTACTATTATTATATTTAATATTTTGTTAATTAATAATGATACTCTGTAGAAATGTAATGAAATAGAACTTAAGAAATTGTTACTTGGTACAAATTTTTAGTGTACATGTTTTAAGAATTGCTCAGCGAAAAAGATTAAAAACATGCTATACTATACTATACTATAACATACTATATCCTGCTTGTTAGTGGGTGGTAAATTCCTAGGACAGTCCTGGAATGGTTACGGGGAACAGTCTGCTCGGCAGGGTGTTTTATAAGGGGCTGCGGTATTGTAGTAATAAACAGTAGGCAAAGTTAATCACGGGGTCAGTTGTAGAATCGCTATATTTCTGGTCCAATTATACCTTAAGTGTTATGTCTGGTCTGTGGTCTTGTATGGGGCCGAGCTCTGGACATTGAAGGATGTATCCACAAAGAAACTTGAAGCCTTTAAGATGTGACCCTACACACGGATTCTTAGAATTTCCTGGAATAAACACGTTTCCAACAAGACAGTCTTCAAATGGTTTAAAAAGACATCGAAATAGTGGACATCATTTAGAAATGCAAATTAGAACATCTGGCACGTATAATAAGGAACCAAACGAGATATGGTCTGCTTCAGTTAATACTCCAAGGAAAGATCTAGGACAGAAGAGGACCTGGAACATGTAGAATCTCCTGGTTGAAAAACCTTAGAACTTGGTTTTCCCTGTCAACACGAGGATTATTCAGATAAGCAGTCATCAAAGTTCAGAATGCTTTGCTTACCGCCAACATACGGAACGGATAAGCGCACCAAGAAGATGGGTACCTACATTCCAAATTTTAAACCTGTATAACCTGTCTACTCCATATGATGTTTTATTATCCTTATATGTTTTTGTTTATTTTGGTTTGATTTGCTACACATACATTTTGTATACTGTGGCTAAATAAATAAACCTAACCTTAGTTATTTCCTAAACCCTGCGGGGATCAAATAGACCGATTCGATGTCTGTTGTTTTTACCACCAAATCCAAAAATTCAATAAAATATAGAGTGCTAGAACACTCCGTATATTCCAAAGCGAATTATGATTTTAAACTTTCCTGATAACTATTATATCGCTTTATTTGCGACCTAAATGTCTCAACTTTCTAGATACGAAAGTAACTTTTCCTCAAAACGGGTTTAATAATTTCCCCCGCGGTATCAACCCACTCCAATAGAGCTTACTTTTGATGCAGTTCCTGTTGGTGTAGTCGTTGAACCAGTAGTTCCTGCAGTAGCACACGCCATCTTTTAGCTTCCCCGGCTTGATCGGACAGTCCTTGTTTTGCTTGTAAAGGACGCCGACGTTTTTCATCCCCAGCTCGGCCACGCAGAAGTCGTCCATCGCAAAGAAACCCGGTTCGCATACGCACGACGAGCTCTTGAACCAGAAGGCGTCCTCGCAGGAATCGCACTCGTCACTCGTTGTGACGTTCGAGAGGCCCTTGCAGGAAGAAAGGGGCGGGTCCTCTCGTAACACGTAATCCGCTATGATTTGCTTGTCCTGAACTTCGAAGTAGTCCGACTCGGCCGAGTCGCACTCTGCAGTACTGCAGGACCGCAGCTGGTCGGAGTCGGTCCGCACGCACACCCCCAACTCGCAGGTACTCTCGATCGTCAGGAACAGCAACGAGAAGGGTTTGCAGTCGCTTTTTATGGCGCATTCTGAAATATTTTTCAATACCCTGGATTGCAGTTAACTTCATTCCTAACTAGCAAATATATGTCGGTTCTATTTTATTTTATAATTGCTTGATTACTACTCGTCGAATGCAATTTTGTTAAAATTACCAAAGAGACAATTAGACTTTCAAGAATTATATAGAAAATATCTTGTTTTTATATAAAATTTTCTGTTGTCATTTTTGCTTTTTTCTATGGATTTTCATTAATTTTAATACAATGAAAAATACTGGGCCATCAGAGTGGCGTTTTTACATTTGAGTGATAAACCATGATCGGGTGTTTTGTACATGTCTAGAAAAACTTAAAATGTTGTTACGAAAGTGTAAATACAATAATGATCCTTTCTGTTACACATGTTAATTTATTAAAGTTCGACATATAAAAGGCGAACTAAAGAATATCGCGTTCCCCGTGAAGAAAATGAAGCATATTTTGACTCTCGTGTTCGGAATCAAGATAATCCATGGGTTCTACATGTTGCTTGTAGTTATTGTGAAAGATGTTTAGAAGGTAAGCAATGTTTAATTAAGCCATGAATCAGCGGTCTGCGACATGTGCAATACCAAAAGAGCACATCAATGGTTGCCACTTTTGCATTGAGAATCCATGTAAAATACGTAAAGGTAAAAATCTTGAATCTTCTTCTGCTCCAATTGACCCGACCAGTACCAGAGCCACCGAAAAAATTATCGCATTACATTTTTACAAGAAATATATTACATTAGCCGAATCAGTCAACCATCTCAGCAAAATTATACCATACCTAATTCCACTTTCAACATAAGCGTAATAAACACTTAATATTTGTTATGTAACAAATAGATGTTGGCTCCTAACACCTATACCAAAGTATTTATGTGAACCGAAAGGTCTCTACATGGCTTTTGAGTATGATGGAATCTTATAAATGATGTTTTTAGTGGATTAAGATATAAGTTTAAACCAAGATTTCACTTCACTCAATACGACGTTACCCATCATAGATATCGTAAAGTCATCAGCAAACGTTTTAAGCGCTGTTTTTGTTTCTCGAAGCCGTCGGAGCCACGCAAACTCTCCAAACAATACAGTACCATATACAAGAGGAAAAGTAGTGGTCCTAATACAGAGCCCTGAGGGGCGCCCGTTGTTACCATGGATGACTTCGACTTTATTTCAGTTCATACACCATGTGTTTAATACATTAGGATAACATATTGTTTCCTATAGGAATAAAAGGATTACCTAAATTTCAATGGAATATTATGTGGTGACCTACACAATAGAGGTCGCAGAAGATCCCAACAGGACAGTCGTAGGACTCTATATAATTAACAATACTTTCCAAGAATAAAGTAATTGCTTGTATGGAGGATCTCCCACTTCGAAAACCGAACAGGTTATCGGATATTTTGTTGTTTTCAAGATACAATAAAAGTAGTTGCAAATATGCGTACTCACACAATTTCGAGAAAACCATAGCGACTGTAACTATAATTCATAATATTTTTTATGTAATGGAATAATCTTTCCAATATTTTAGCTTGAAGGAAATTTTCCTTCACAAAAAATAAATTTACTAATGGCTAAACGGCTTTATAATAAATATTACGACGCGCTTGATTAAAAGAAGATGGACTTTGTTTTTGCAATAATATAAATGGTGAATGGTTAGTGAAAGCCAAGATAAGCCTTCATTTTCGAAAAAATAGAAATCTTCAGGGAGTTCAAAACAATAACATGACATCCGCGGAGACAATTGTTACACCAAAATACAACTTTGACAGTTTTAGAGATGAGAGCACAGTATTTCTTTATCAAAGACGACTCGACAGTAAACTGCTCAGTCCTGATGGACACAGGGCATGGGAATAGAAATTGATGGTGGATGCTTGTATACTCTTCAGTTCGCAGACGACCAAGCCATAGAAGCCAATAATAAAGATGATATGCAATATATGATTCGAAAACTAATAGAGGAGTATAAAGAATGGGGCTTGATAGTCAACATAGCAAAGAAAAAGTATCTCTGTGTGGGAACTCAGGACGAAAATTTGGAATTAGGCAATGGGCAAGAAATCCTTCAATGTCAGGAATATGAATATCTGGGCATCACATTCGACAACACTGGAACAGATGCAAAAGAAATAGAAAAACGAATAGTCAAAGTCAAAAAAGTAATAGGAACTCTCAATGGAATCCTATGGAGCAAAGAAATATCCAAGAAACGGAAATTTAATATCTATGAAGCAATGGTAAAAAGCACCCTTCTATATTGATCAGAGACATGGAGAATTTCCGATAGACATAAGAAAGTGGTCGAGGCTGTCGAGATGGACGCAATTAGATCAATGCGCATTTCGCAAAGAGAAAGAATAAGAAACAATACCATAAAACAACGGATGGGATTAAAGGCACAATAACGCAAGATATAGAGAAAGAACAACTTATTTGGTACGGACACGTGGAAAGAATGTCAAATGCCCGATGGCTGAAAAGGATACTCCACTGGCAACCAACAGATAAAAGAAAACGAGGCAGGCCAAAACTAGAGTGGCAAAAAGCTATGCATAAATGCATGAGTGAAAGAAATCTGATTCCTGAAGATTGTCAAGATCGACGGGGTTGGAGTTTAGGTGTCCGACAACATCGAAGGACGTTCATAATAATAAAATAATACTTGGGTCCATAACAGTTTTAAATAAAAGTGGTTAATAATTGTTGCAAACTATTTTGTATAATATTTCCGGTGAAAGCTGTTAAAGCCATAATAAAACAAATTAAGCAACAAAATTGTTGCACACTAGTGCGCCCTTACACTATTACACAAATTTTCTGTATTCCTCCTGTGTGGGTTGTTTATAAATCGAACTTGCTACTCTGTACCTGTTTATATATTGTGTGAGAGGGGCGGAGCTAAAGGAGGGTCATTAACATTGTCTCGGATGACTGTTTCGCATATTGGTGAAACGTAAAAACCCGAATCGCGGTTACGATTTTAGAGATTTCTATGGATTCTCGGATGGTAGAAGAATTGATTTTATTGAATTTTAGTTTATCGAATAAAGTTTTATATCCGGTTTCGTGATTGTGTTTAGCAACTGCTGATGAGTTTATTTGACGCAGTCTTTTTCATGTTCTTTGAGCCTAGCTGATATTTTTTGTCCGGTCTCTCTAATGTATTCTTTATCACATATACATGAAATGCTGTAAACTCCTGGCCTGGCATCTCGGAATTTTGTCTTTGATCAATCGAAGATTTTGAGAGATTTTTGAACAAGTGGGAAATCTGGAAAATCTAGTTTTGATGTTATATTTCTTAAGAACATTTGATACGTAATCAGTGATGTTTTGAATATGATGGAGGACAATATTGGCAAGTCTGGTGTTGCTTTCGGACTCATTGTCTTTGGAAGATTGTGGGGAAGTGTATTTTGTGCTACACCGCCTAATATCTTTAATGTGGAAATTATTAGAGAGAAGAGCAGATGTAAGGTGTTTCAATTCTGGGCTCAGTGATTCGAGTTGAGATAGTTTTACGGCTCTGTAATCAAGAGAGTTGATGATTTTTTGCTCACAGCACATATTTGTCGAAATATTTTGTTATAATTTTTTAAAATAACCTTTGAATCTTGTAAGGACAGAACATCCTCCTAGTTAATCCTATTCTTGTTTGATTAAATGATTATAGTCGTCAAAACATTTAAAATTATTAGGAGCGGAGTGTCAATATACCAACAGTTGTTCCAAATAACTTCCAATTTCCTCAACCTCTTTTATAATAACACCGAAGCGACCCGTCGGCTGCATGCGTCTGATATATTGTTTCTATATTCTCTCAACGTGCAACTTTTATTTTGAATATGTTCCTGAGTTTCTTCTTAAAGGCAGGATTTACTTGTCAAGATTTTGCTTCATCCGAACCAAATGATGGATAATTTTTGTCTTCATCCTCAGCTGTATACTTATCAAAAAGAGCTTGCCATTTTTCCCTTTCCTTGGAAACAGCATGAAAACTCTTGGAATTCATATCGATGAAACAAAAAAAATCTAGAAAAATCGCCCATAATGGTAAACCCCATTTCAACGATATCAGATTAACACTTTGTTAAGAAACTAATAGAAAACAAATTACCGCCAAGCACGCGGTTTCATCGTCGGAATAAAAATTAGGGTATCGATCTGTGTGCGTAGGTTTTCTGCACACAGAATGACCCAATGTTAGGTCTGATTTTCTATTGATAAGAATACCTAAGAATGGAAGATTATTATGAATTTTCATTTCAATGGTAAAACGTATGTTAAAGTGAGCGAGCGAGAGTGTTATAGTGTAAAAGGCTAAGAAAATCTAATAGGGATTCTTAACCACGAGCGTTTCCGTAATTTTGGTTTTAGATGGGAGGTGTCAAGGGCGTTTGAAAGGTTTTTCAAAGATGGGCAAGTTTGGTCTCAGATTCTAGGATTTTTATATATATGTGAGAATATATAGAAATATAAAAGTAACCAAACAATTTAAGTGCAAAGTTAAGTGCAAAATTGTAAGCTCATTTACATATCACATTGATTTTATGACTAACAGAGCTATTCGATTGCTTGGATTTGTTTTTCGGACTTGTACTGTGCGCTTGTGCGTTCAATTTTAGAGTATGCTAGCTGTGTCTGGCAACCATACTACGCAATTCACAAGGAAAGAATAGAGCGTGTGCAGCGTAAGTTCCTTAGAGGGATAGGTTTTAAATTGGGAATGTCATTTGAGGATATAAACTACGAGGAGATAATGAAGCTTTTGAATCTGACATCCTTGGAGAGTAGGCGCATATTTTTTGACATCACTACATTATACAAAATCCTTAATAATTTGATGGATTCACAAGATCTTCTGGCATCTGTTGGTTTTCATATTTCTCCTATTAATGCAAGAAATAAGGCTCTTTTTAAAATTGATTTTCATAGGACCAACTATGGCATTAACTCGCCTATGACTCGAATGTGCAAACTGACAAATATTTTACTCACAAGTAACGAGCATATTGATTTATTTTCTGACTCTCTCATTAGTTTTAATTGCAAAGTAAAGGAGACTGTTTTTAATCAAAACTTGGTAGTTTAGCAACTGTAAGTGTTATTTGTAAGTGTTGGTGTTACTATTTTTCTTAGGGTTAAACTATATTGTAATGATAATGTAAATGCTAAATGCGTAAATAAAATTTTTAATTTTTATTATTTTTTTTTAATTTAACCGGAACCCAGGTTACCTTTCCCCAATATAGGAATCAGACAATGTTCATGCCCCTCCTTTAGCTCCGCCCCCCTCCAACAGTTTATAAGCAGGTACAGAGTAGAATACAAGCCAGTTTCAGTTAAGCCCCGACGCAGGAGGATTGCAGAAGATTTGTAAATAGTATTACAGTGACCTGTAGAAGTTTCTTTGAAAATCTGTGTAACTGTTTTTAGAAAAATTATATTTTCGTCAATTAAGTGCTAAATATTAATTTAAAATAAAAATGTTCCTTTAAAAACCACAAGTATTTTGCAATGAGTAAAAATCAAGTGAGGTACTATTTTTTTTCGGAAGCAAATGGTTAAGTTTTTTATTTCGCCTATAAATTTTCGTTGAAAAAAAAAAGAAATTTTACCTTCCCATACGTGGGACGATATCCTGCAGTCGTGTTCCCTCTCGTAATAACCGGCGCTGCACTGGCACGTGTTGTCCTTGCAGGTCAGCGCGAGTTGATCCATATCGTCGTAGCAATCGACGGAAGAGCTGCAGGATTGTCCCTTGCCGACGTAAGCGCGACATTCCCCCTGGAACCACCTGTAACCTTCGTCGCAGATGCATCTGTTGTTCCTGCAGTCGATATTTTCGCTGCTTTTCTGCGCCGAATCTAGCCACTCTGTACACTGGCGTTTTTCGTGACACGCGGTGTCATACTCTGACGCGTCTGCAAAAATTAGGAAATAACAATTGACAGAAAGCAACAGCTGTACTGAGCATAACGATGGTCCAGAATCCCTCGAAGGTATTTTTTAACCATTTAAACTCTAAGGGATGATGCAAAATTTTAGGTGCCCCTATATATCTTATAGCAAAGTTATAATATAACTCTTTAAAGGGGCCGGTATTATTAACTCACGTGCCGAGTTTGAATAAATTTTAATTAGCGAATCTTCAGTTATTGAATTCAATATGATGGCAAAAATGCAAAACACTAAGTAACTATGTAAGTCATTATGTTTTCTTAGGATCAAGCTCATACTCGGTTCTTAAGACATCCTTGTCCCTCAAAGCGTTTCTGAAATGAATTTCATTTAAAGGATGATTTAAGTAACAAAATTGCTTTCGAAAAAAAATATCTCGCGCCCTGTATAAGTGACGAAACCTAAAACTCTCTCTCGACACAGTTTACGATACTGTTCAAATAAAATTATCGCATCTTTAACGGTTTTCATTTATCGGCAATTATTTACCCACAAAAACAGAAATTTTCAGGATCTTTTAGATTTTTTTGTCCTGGATTGTTCACGTTTCCTGGTCCACGCATTTTTTGGAAATAGTAAATGGTTTTTGAGAAAATATTTTTTTTTCTGAAACCATGCAGTGCGTCGTAATATTCAATGACGTCATCGAGTCTTGACAGCCGCCAAAATAGCGATTTCAATATGGATTTTTTGAAATATCCCGAGCAGCGTACGTGATAGACAAAAACCGCAAATACAAAAATTATAGCTCTGCCTATAACACTGTTTGAACCAATTAGCCATATTTTTTACGATTTTTGATTTGCGGCTAATAATTTACTCTGTAGAAGAACAATTTTCTAGGTCTTAAATTTTTGCCTGTAATTTGGAAACCCTGTATATAATCGAAAAAATACCTGCAATAAATGTTCTTGAACTGGATCTTCCGCCTCTGCTGCTTAAAGAATTTTCCGATCGGTGAACGATTATGAAGGAAAACAAATTTTTCTGGAAGATAAAATTGCCAAAAAAAACTATTTCAAAAATTATTAAAAAATACTTGCTAAAATTCGATTGCACCCAATTTCTACCGTTTAAATATGGACACGGACTTTTACTTCTCTTGTAAATTTGAAGTTGATATCTGCAGATTTAGGACACATTTCTCATTTAGCACGGAATATCGGGAACACCCTGTACAATAGGTGAAAGCCTTAAATACAAAAAATTTTGCTGTTTATGCGGGCTATATCGCAATATAAAAGAAAGTGAGATCTGAATCATAGTCTTTCAGTTATAACCAATTCTCAATAATAGGGGGACCCATTATTCAGTTTTTTTAATTTTGCGGCGCATATATTTTTGAAAAATTGTCAAGAGTAAAAGTTTATGGGGCCATATCTTCTGCGTCTTTTGGTTCAATAATTCTTTTGGTCTCGTTAACGGTTTTCGAAAAATGATGTTTTTTATAGACCCTTGCACACACGATTATTATTTTTTTTAGAATACTTCCCTAATCCCCATCCCCCCATTTTCAATAGGTTCCGCCTGCCAAAGCTGTGCCAAATATGAAGTCGATTGTTTCAAATTTCGGACACTTATCGCGTTTCATAGCAAACCAGTCGAAAACCGCGAAAAAAAGATGGATACCGGCGTCGGATCAATGCGATTTCTTATAAGCTTATGTGCTACGTGGAGGGTTAAAAAGGAGGTAAATTTTAATTTTGCGGCTCCAACGGTTCGAAAGTTATTCAGGAAAAGCTAAAGACGAGAATGGAGAACGGACAAACAGACAAAAAAAACTTTTTTTTGCGACGGTGATCATTTCTGTACCCACGGCGATCCCATAGAACCTACCGTTACGGAGATATAAAATTTTTGTACGAGCGTAGATACGTTCAAAAAATTCGATTTCATCGCTTTTCGAAAGTAACAAGGAAACTTCAAGGTACGATTACATATTTGGCCCTGAAGTATTTTATTAAAAATAATTAATATTTATAAGAAAAATGTAACGACACAATATTGCTAAAAAGAAACATTATTTAAAATAAACATTATTTTTTAGGTAAGTGTTCAAACAACCCTCCATTAATAGTTAAACAATATTCTAAGCGATCATAAAATTCATTTCAACATTTTCAGGAAATAGCGTTTTGAAACTGGTTAAGATTTTCAAATTTAAAATTTTTATAGAAAACACTTTTCAAGTCAAGTTTGGCCCATAATATTCCCAAATGCTCCCTAACCATACGGGACAACCATGCATCATGTTCCAGATCTCCCGATATTTCAAAACAAAATGCCACTCTTCTTTCTTCGTCGCCTTGGCGGAGCTCTTCTTGCTTTCCGTATTTATAGGAAAAATATTTGTGTTCTTTTAATGTGCATAACACTGTAGTTTGATGTTTATTTGCAGCTTGTCCAGGACTCCTCATACTAATTATTTTGTTTCTTCCACATGCCGTAAAATGTTCAAATCTCTATTGCCCCTTTCTTTTGCTCTATTTTAAGCTGTGCATTTACAGTTATTTATTACGGTGCCTTTGGACTTGAATTGAGTAATAATCAAAATCAAAGATATAGTTTATAGGTTGTTGTAGGTATGGCGTTATAGGTTATAGGTATAACCACTTAATTATGGTAACTTTTTCTCCAATTGAGTAAGGCATATTTCTATTTAATTAAAGCGCGATTATTAACGAAAAAATTCATAAATAAAAATATTGTTACTGTTACGAATTTTCGTGTTTTCATTGTCAAAATGTGTTTTTTCTACTCCCGTCTGTAAAATATTTAATTACACACCGATCTAGCGTGCGGGAAGCGTCACTTTACCACGTCAGTTTCGTTTCCCACGAATCCGAGCCACTTCAGACATTTCCGGGATTTGACCGCATGGATTTGGGAGCAATCGGATGTTTTCGGAGATATTTCCCACGCTTTGAGTTTTGACGTTTGTTAATTCTGACGGTCATGTCAGTGAATGAATTGGTGTTGTTTTGCGAAAATGTGCCCAAAAACTAATGGTCGTAGAAAAAGTATAGTATGTAACACGTGTCAAATAAACTCGTGAGTTAAATGCCGTTTACCGCACTTGTTGCATAATATACTATTACTGAACTATAAAAATTTTCTAATTTTGCCATCATATTTAATTCAATAACTGAAGATTGCCTTATTAAAATTTATTCAAACTCGGTACATGTCTTAATCATACCGGTCTCTTCAAAAAGTTGTACAGGGGAGTCAATATTTGGCCACCTAAAAATTTACATGGGATTTCCTATGTTCCGTTCGGCATGCATCACCCGGAATACTTTTAAATTTATTTCTTTTCTATATATTTTCTTACAATTACAGAATCGCACAATATAGGCTTATATTGTTTAACAAAATCGAGAAAGTCAGCAAAAAATGTTTATGCCAACAATGAGAACAAGGTTAGGATTTCAATAAATTGTAACTTCGAGCTAAAGACCTTTATTTTTTTAATTAAACTTAAATTAAATGAAGTAGGTGCGCCTATTAAGGACCATCCAACTTCCATCCAAAAAGACAATGTATAAAAAAACTGTTTTAACCTTTTCGTGTTGTGACAGTCTTTGAGGTCTTTTGTTTCAACCAGGGGATTCCCTAAAATTGTGCGAATGTGTACGGCTGGTTTCATAAAAAACCGATATGACTCATAAAGCGCTTTTTTTTGAGCAGTGTATTATGGATCATGTTGTTGTCATACAAACTTCATTGTTTTCATATTTCTAATACTGACAGAGTAATATATTCTTTCCAAGTGTTTCTTCTTGTCCTAAAATGTTGGGTCTTGCTGATAAGGATCAAGTATCTTCTAAATTTATTACAATTCTTATTTACCTAAACATAATTGATTTTAAATTGCTTATTTAGTTTTAAAATTATCTTTTTATTTTTAAAACAAATAAAAGTTGAGTCTGTTTAGTTTAGACCAACGATAAACAATAAAATAGAACAAAATACTGATTACTCTAATACCTATATAATATAAGCATAATATACATTTTTTGCAAAATATCTTCACAAATTTACTTATTGTTTACAATAATTTTGTGTTCAAACAAACAGTAAAGACTGATTAATGGATTAGTTTTTAGTATTAAAAATAGATTTAATAATACATTTTATTGTAAGAGACACTTTTCTTGAAGTTATGAAGTAGCTCATGTAATGGCAATTCAATAGAAATATGCACCCTTGGGTAAAACCGTTGACCAAGCAGCTAAACTGAGCCATTCGATATCCAATAGGAAAAAGCACTCGAATCTTAAAAATATGTATATTAATTTTTATTACTCAAAATGTTTGCATAAACCTGCCTTTAAATCCCATATTGGACGTCATAACAAAATTTTATTTGAAGCTATTTTATTATTTAAAACATTTGTTGATAATATTGTAAGTATAAATTTATATAATACTCTAACGATTAACACAGTGACAAATATTATGATTTTGAGTGTTTATCATGGGAGATAATGGAAAACAAGAAAAGAAATCAACCAGAAAAAGCATTTCACACAGCCCTGTTTTGGGAAAAAATGGTATTATTGCGAAATTAAAACACATGAATTAAGAATGCTCTAATCCAGCCTACAAATTTTTACAGGAGTCCAAAATCAAGACTGAATTATTATGCTTTTTCCGCTTATCAACAACTTCAAACAGAACGCTTAAGAAAAAGCCAAACTGCCTTCTTGATAAGCAGGCAGAAAACCGGTAAAACATAATAATTAAAATTACTACTTAACCAATTTTCTATTCTATCTTCCCTAACCACATTATTTACACAAGTTTAATGTAAAACCATGGGAGGGCCATATTTGGATCCATTAGGCCAAATAAAGCCCCAATATGGAAACGCATATTGCCGATAAAAATGTTTGCAAACGTTGACTTAAAAACTTTATTTTGTTCTGAAACAAATGACTAATAAACAAAATAACTATAG